GTGGGGGCAGAAAGTGGCGGCGAAAGCAGACGACAGAACATTGATAGAGAGTGGGAAAGGATGTGAAAGGAGACAATTTTAGAGAAGAACATTTTTTTCCGTCATTACCCGGATTTGAACTAGGAACCTTTGAATGAGAGGCGAACACCTTAACCTCTAGGCCACGAGAGCCCCCTTAAAGTTATGTGCTAAGGGTCTGGGTTCAATCCCTGCCTGAGAAAGCTATGTTGTCCAGCCACCCCCCTGTGGTATTGTGATAAGACACAGCGTCCCACACGACACAGTTCTGACGTGTACAGATTAAGTAGCGTCCCACGTGACACATCTTTGACGTGTACAGACGGAGCAGCGTCCCACGTGACACATCTCTGACGTGTACAGACGGAGCAGCGTCCCACACGACACATCTCTGACGTGTACAGACGGAGCAGCGTCCCACACGACACATCTCTGACGTGTACAGACGGAGCAGCGTCCCATGTGACACATCTCTAACATGTACAGACGGAGCAGCGTCCCATGTGACACAGCTGTGACGTGTACAGACGGAGCAGCGTCCCATGTGACACATCTCTAACGTGTACAGATGGAGCAGCGTCCCATGTGACACAGCTGTGACGAGTACAGACGGAGCAGCGTCCCATGTGACACAGCTCTAACGTGTACAGACGGAGCAGCGTCCCATGTGACACAGCTGTGACGTGTACAGACGGAGCAGCGTCCCATGTGACACATCTCTAACGTGTACAGATGGAGCAGCGTCCCATGTGACACAGCTGTGACGAGTACAGACGGAGCAGCGTCCCATGTGACACAGCTCTAACGTGTACAGACGGAGCAGCGTCCCATGTGACACAGCTGTGACGTGTACAGACGGAGCAGCCAGCCGCCTACACCACCCAGCCAATATGTCCAGGGAGCACAAACAGGTGCAACCACAACAACAACAATACTTTTTTAAAAAATGTAGAATGTACCAGTGTACAGTCCAGCAGCTCATCAACAACATGATGTCCACCAGTCTGTACAACTGAGACAAGAGAACTCAACAACACAAGAGAAGAACCAACATGTCCGTTTATTAAAATATTCCATCATGTCATGTCATGTAGTCAAAGTAACCAAAGATATACAAAAACAGGAAAACCCTCAACGACTCAGCGTTTCACTCTCAGTGCTCTCAGTCTCAATGATTCCACACAGAGCAAGTACAGTGTAGCCTAGTGCTAGATGTAGCAGTCTAGAGCAAGTACAGAGTAGCCTAGTGCTAGATGTAGCAGTCTAAAGCAAGTACAGTGTAGCCTAGTGCTAGATGTAGAGGTCTAGAGCAAGTACAGTGTAGCCTAGTGCTAGGTGTAGCAGTCTAGAGCAAGTACAGTGTAGCCTAGTGCTAGGTGTAGCAGGGGAGAGCAAAGCATGGAAAGATACAAGCAAACATTTCGTTACTGACAGCGACTGTGAGAGAAAGAGACTGTGAGAGAAAGAGACTGTGCTACCACTGAGTTCATCCCAGCTTGAAAAAAGTTAAATAAGTACTGCCAGACACCGGGAATGAGACTCACACGCAATACACACACATATACACACACACACAAGCACACACACATATACACACATACACACAGATACACAGAAACAATGACACAAACAACACACACACACACAAACACACATACACACACAAACAACACACACAAAAGCAGACAGACACAAGGGACCATGGGAGGGACAGATGTCTCCAACGCAAACATTCACTGCACGGACAGATGTCTACAACGCAAACATTCACTGGGGACTGACCAAAGCCACAGGGGAATGGATCATGACGGCCCTCCACAGCCTGGGCCAATACGGAACACACGTACATCATTTATGACATATGTACATCATTTATGACATAGGTACATCATTTATGACATACATACATCATTTATGACATATGTACATCATTTATGACATACGTACATCATTTATGACATAGGTACATCATTTATGACACAGGTACATCATTTGTGACATATGTACATCATTTATGACATAGGTACATCATTTATGACATACATACATCATTTATGACATATGTACATCATTTATGACATACGTACATCATTTATGACATAGGTACATCATTTATGACACAGGTACATCATTTGTGACATATGTACATCATTTATGACATAGGTACATCAA